AACGGTGCTTAACAAACCCGTACAACTTGAGAGTTCGAGTCACACGAACCTCAACGAACCTTCGAAGGAAACAACCCTTCCTTCGAACAACAAGAGAAATACCTTCTCTTGTCAAGTGTCTAAGAACACTAAAAACACTCAAGAACAATACTCTCTTTTTAGAGTGGATATTGAGTAAACTAAGAACGCTCAAGGACACAACACAAGCTTCACAAAAATGGCTCTCAAAAGCTATGAATAATTAAAGAATGATTTGCAATGAAAGAGTAGGAGTTGAGAAGTAATGTGTTGTTTAAAACAGACCCAAACACCTCATTTTATAGTAGAAAAATAGGCTCCAACGGACCAAAGTATTTAAGGGGAAATTGGCATAATTTGTGGGATTTGGTGAAATTTGGATCTGTTGAAAATCACCCAGACAGCGCTGTCCTAGGCCTGGACATCGCTGTTCTAGGCTTGCGGTTTGAAAAATGGGAAGCAACGGTTATGCCAACAGCGATGTCTAAAATCCCTACATCGCTGTTTTGGCTGTTGACTTCCAAACAAGGAAAGTTTTAGCCTTAAATTCCTTCCAACGGTCAGGTCTCTACATCGATGTTCTATACTAGAACATCGCTGTTTAGGTCTGCCTTTGGAGATGGAAGTTTGGCCTAACAGCGCTGTTGCTGGGTCAACATCGCTGTCCAAAAACTTTCTGCCAATGCACTATATTTTTGGCTTAGGTTGGACAGCGCTGTAGGGGAGCCTACATCGCTATTCCAGAAGTTTCTGGAAATCCAACCTTGGCTCAACAGCGATGTCTAACATCCAACATCGCTGTTGGAAGACTTAACGCCAAACCATGGTTTTCAGCCACCCAAGCCAGACAGCGCTGTTGGTTTCACCAACATCGCTGTTGGGCTGGTTTAGCTAGACCCATGGTTGGTTTAGTCAGCCGTTAGCCGATGTCAAAAATGTAAGTTCTCCAAAGTAAAAACCAAGTATTGAAAATGTTTGTTTAATGCATTTTGCTAAGAAATCAAGTAAAACGTTTTGAAAACCACGTCATTTAGTTGAAAACCACGGCTAGCCAAGTTTACGCCGTTTCGCATGGTTTTCACTAAACGACCAAAAACGAAAGGTGGTTTTTGAAGCGTTTTTGTTGGAGAACTATTTAAATGTGCCCAGAAGTAAAAACCAGTCATAANAGGTTGAAAACCACTTGATTGGTTCGGACGCCAAAAACCAATGCCGAAAACCGAAAGCCGAACGCCGGTTTCTGAAAGCCGAACGCCGGATGGCTTGGTTTTTGGCTTGGGCGAACTCCAAGTGTTTTGAGCCAAGTTTAAAACTTAAGAAAAATATTTTTGAAAATGTAAAAGAGATTTTTATGAATTGAGCCTAGAGAGCCAAGATTTGGAATTTTGTGCCGGTCTTGATCACATTAAGACCGACTCAATACAATTCTAGTTCTTCGTTCTTGATTCTGGGTTCTTGGTTCTCAAGTCATCATGTCATGTTCCTTTGCCTTAGTTTTGCTCACTTTAGCTTCGATATGTCGCGGCGGTTTGGCATTATCAAAACCTGTCATAAAGACGAACACAGTTTAGTACGACGGAGGCGTAAACCCGTGTTCCAACAGATAAGGTGTTGAGCAATGAGGAAATTATCCACAAGAGATCTCCCTGGGACAAAGGCCCCTTGTGCAGGGTCAATCAAATCAGGGAGTAAAGGAGCCATACGCTTAGCCAAAATCTTGGTGATGACTTTGTAAAGAACATTGAGGCAGGCAATGGGCCTAAAATCTTTAACGGTTGGTTTATGGGAAGATTTAGGTATGAGAACAATCATAGCATGATTAATCTGTCTCAATAATTTCCCTGAGGTGAAGAATTCCAACACAGCTTCATAGATGTCCCTACCCACAACTGCCCACTGATCCTTGAAGAAGGCTGCAGTATAGCCATCAGGGCCTAGAGCCTTGTCATTGCCAATGTCAAAGACTGCCTCCCTCACCTCCTCAGGTGTAACAGAAGCAAGGAGACTGGATTGGGCAGAAGAAGGAACTCTGGTTCCAGCAGTCAAAATCTCCAGCTCAATGGGTTCAACTGAAGAAGTAGTGCCAAACAGTGTAGTAAAGTAGTCCACAAAGATATTAGCCACCTCATTCTTGGAAGTAGTTTTAGATCCATCCTCTGTAACCAAGAACCCAACAATGTTTTTCCTCCTGTTCTTCTTGACAATGGAGTGGAAGTAACTTGTGCATCTATCAGAATTCATAAGAAAGTCACATTTGGCTTTTTGTTGATAGAAGGCCAATTCAACATCAAGGAGGAAATTAGCTCTCTTCCTTTTAATATCAGCACCATCAAGAAGGCTTTGATTATTAGGGTCCAGGGCCACCTACTTCATCACCAATCCATACTCTTCCTTAGCTTCCATAGCTCTTCTAGAAATATGACCAAAAGCCTGTTTGTTGAGGGATTTTAAGGGGGGTTTGAGGCGTTTAAGCTTGGAGCATAAGGAGAATTGCTTAGAGCCAACCACACCTGCCTCCCAAGACTGGGAGACCAGCCCATTGAAGCCCTCATGCTTAAGCCACATATTGAAGAATCTGAAAGGCCTGGACCTGTTACCAAGGGGTGCACCACACTGGAAGAGGATGGGGAAGTGGTCAGAGAGGAAGTTGAAATCCAAAAATTCACAAGTTGGAGCCAAACCAATGTCTCC